TCCTCAATATTACACCTATTAAACAGGTCTGAGTGTATCATTAGTTCTGAAAAGTGTGGATGGTTCTGCACAAGCCTTTACCACTTTAATCAAATCACTTGTGTAGGTTTTCTGGCGGTTTACCTTGATTCATGTGAGTAACAGGATGCAAAAACTAATTTTGCTTTAATAAAAATGGTAAGATTATATTTTTTTTCTGTTAATTCTTGGTTAAATACTTGTATGAACCATTCACAAACAACATTTATGTTTTCTATTCATGAACTAAATGGAAAATAAAAAATTATAAACAAACATAGAAAATTTAGTTATGGCTTGTGACAGGTAATTGAATTTTTTTTTTTTTTTTTTTAAGTAAAAAAAAAAAAAAAAAAAGATTGTTAAATAGTTGGAATGTGCTACTATTCTTTGTATAAAAAGGAATACATAGAGTCCAGTTCTTAAAGTTTTATAAAAGTTACACTATGCATGAAAATTAATATAGTCATTTCTGTCTAAAATTATTCAAAGTGTATTACTCAATGTTTAAATAAAAATCAAGTGATCAGTCTACCCTATAGATTAAATAATGAGTTCAGTTTAGAATTTCCTGTATGTTATCCAGATTGATATACACCTGATGAAGGCAGAAGGGCACAATGGTTGAAACAATGTGATAACAGCAACAAAGATGAGGACAATAGTCTGAATGTAAATAGTGTAAATAACTCATCATTCCAGAAATTCAAACTGAAAAAAAATCCAGTGATTTTTTTTTTTTTTTTTTTTTTTATTTAATTTTTTTTTAATTTTTATTTTTAATAAAAACTTAAGTAAAATTTAACTAATTTGTTTTAATTTTTATTCGTTTAAATTTTCTTAATGTTTTAAATAGTGTTTTTATTGTTATAACAAATAAATATAAATTATCTTAAAAAAAAATTTGATTTGGGAACAAAGTGATTTATTTATTTATTTTTTTTTCTAGATAGTTCTGGAATGATGATGAAAAAATTGTTGAAGCTGCCCATTTGTCACTTCCAACTCTTGATAGAGTTCAAGTCTTGTGGGGGATGACACATTCTACAACCTGTAGCTTCTTTTCCACAGATGTAATATCGTAAGCCCAGTGGTACTTTATCATTATTTCCATGGCTAGTGTTCACATGAATACCTTTCTTTTATTCCAACAATTCAGACTTTTACAGCTAAGAATCTCCATGCTACATCCACAGAGTTGAATCACCCTCATTCCCTCCATATTCCTATTGTAAGGATGGTTCCATCAAAACAGTTTCTTTCCAAGAACCGTTGCTTTGTGTAATACACTCCCATATAGATTCTCCCCTAAAACACTAAAATTTTAACCTCTTTGGATCAATGGCCAATTGTTACCTATCCTCCATGTCCTCATACATTCATATCACACATATTCAGGACACCTCAATGTTAACGAGTTCTTCTCGCTCAATCCACACTTAAAAAATCATTTGGGCACCTTAAGGTGGTGCAGTAGTTAAACATGCCTCACTAGAATAATTATGACTGGGTACTGAGTGTGGTCCTCACTGGGTGTCCTCTACATTATGTGGCTCTTCAGTCTTGTATCAAAAAAAAAAAGAAGCTAATATTAAAAAAAAATGGTTTTATTTTCATTTATGAAACCAAACATTTAAGCTACACAATTGATTTTATGGTGATGTTAAACAACTTTTTGAATGATCAACTTTAGAAGCTGTATGTATGACTGCTTCAGTTCATATACTTCCACAATTTTCACTGTAGTTTCTGGTGACAAACTACATTTTTCACCCATCACAAGTACTTCAATGCTAATAGAAAAATATTACAAATAACTAACTTCATCTTGTTGGCAAATGTAAGAAGAAAAAAAAGTAAGAAAGTTAGTTCAAGCATCTTACTCAGAATTATTTGAATAAATATAATTTAAAGAACATAAAATAAGTTTTAATTTTACATACAATATTATGATATATACATGCAGGATACAGAATATTTGACAGCACTTTAAACAATTCACTTATGTAGGTTGTAACCTAGAATTTACTGAACCCATTTGTCATTCTCAACAGGACAATCCATCTATATAGACACATGCATAAAATAATCAATTTAGGGAGAAATCTAATTTTTAAGATAATAGAGACCACACTGTGTGTGTATTTATTTGTGTGGTTAAAGTTTAGCTTAAAAATTTAATCACAAAAATGAAATTAAACTATGTAGGGTTTTTTTATATAGAATTTGGTAACTATAATTAACAAAAAAGATATGAGATTGATCAAACCAGCTGGGCAAATGTCACAACATCATGAGGTTATAAATTAGAATTTAATATTTAACAGCAATATATAAGATAAAGAACAAATAAAAAATGTTCACCAATCTAACATCTTTTGCTTTTATTAAAGCTTAATCAGAGAATGATATGGCAGGGGTGGGAGAGGAAAGAAATTCTGGTATTTTTACTTTTGTATTTGATTTTCATTGGTTAATCATATTTAAAAAGCATGTGAAACATGATTAACCAATGAAACACAAATAATACACTAATATTTAAGACATCAACAAGCCAGGTAAAAAAAAAAAAGATTAATTAAACTAGAAATAATTAAAATATACCTATATTTCCCAAATAAACCTAACTTAGGAAAACACCAGAACATTTGAGAAAATGAATTGCCCTAAAAACAAAAAAAGGTTCTATCTGTGATACTGGAAATTACATTGTTACATTAATTTTGACACTCAGGGCCAAAGAAGAAAATGAAGGAAAAGGAGTTTGGGAGAGAGTGTAAAGAGAAAAGAAAATGATGAAAAGAAGAAATAACTATGTTTTATACATATACACATCCAACTGTACACACTACAACAGGAAATCAACCTAACAACAATAATATGAGCATCTCAACTAGTGCATAAATTAATTACATCAAACTTAATATAAAGATAATGAAATATAAGAAAAAAACAGCAGTCAATTTCTGAGACCTCTTGACTGAAAAAAAGTTTTGTCTATGAAACTCTGGAGTCACGGTGCTGAATATAACATCAACCAGCTGATAAATTTTATTTGTATTAATCCTATATATATATATATAAGGAAAAAGGCAATAAGAAAACTAAGTTTTGTCGATGTATTTCATCCAGAGTTTGTCTATATTTCTGAGATGAGGTATTACGTACATTATTTACATTATTCGGACTATTGTCCTCATCTTTGTCACCATATTTATCACAACGTTTCAGCTGTTGTACACTCCGGCCTTCTTCAGGTGGTTGGAATGTCGAACTGAACCCTTTATTTCGCTCACCGGGGTAGACTGTTCTAGTTCCGTGCCATGTTTGATGGATGTCAGTTATCAGTTATCTCCTGTTAATTTCCTTTATCCACTGTGCCTCAAGGACACATGGCACAGTGGATAAAAGCGTTGGTTAGATCCAGTGACAGGACCCAAAGAGTGTGAGTTCAATACCCGGTTAAGGCAGTGGAGAACTTTCAGAGGGAAATTAACAGGATAACTGATAACTGACATCCATCAAACATGACATGTGAAACTAGAACAGTCTACCCGGTGAGCAAATAAAGGTTCAGTTCGACATTCCAACCACCTGAAGGCCAGAGTGCTAATGGCCCGAAACGTTGTGATAAATGAGGCGACAAAGATGAGGACAATAGTCGAATAATGTAACATGTATTTCATCCAATGTGGACTTTTTCAAGGCAAAAAATGAAATGAATTTAATGAAACAAAGTATCTATAAACAACAAACAAAATGTTAACAACTAGAAAAATTTAGAAACGCTATTGTATATTCACATGAAGTCTATTGTATGTTCAATGTTGTTAAGTTCATTGACAAGATCTGTTGAACCTACAATAGACTTCACCTTTGAAACTGAAACCAACTACACTCTTTCCTTCCTAGATATAATATTACACAGAAACAATAACAAACTCAATTTTGATGTTTATAGAAAAGCTATCAACAAAAATGATCTGGTCAGTTTCTGCTCAAACTACTCTTCTAAAATTAAATCTGGAATTATTATAAGTTTCTATTTGAGAGCATTAAGAACCTGAAGCCTCCAATATTTACCTAAAGAAGAAACATACATAGAAAACACATTCAAAAACTTACAATACCCATATCACTTCATTCACAACGTAAGAAGAAAGGCATACAAAATATACAACTGTAACAAAAATAACAACATCATCTGTAATAATAAATTATATGAGAACATATACATAATACTACCAACCAATTCTGTCATGTCCACTATCCAAAACAACCTATCCCATCTAAATAATCTCAAAATAATCACAAACACTTCCAAAACCATTATGAATATAATTGGATCCTCAAACACCCACAACAATAATACTGACATAATTTTTCAGTTGACCATATGAATATACAATAGTGTTTCAAAATTCTTCTAGTTGCTAACAACATTTTGTTTTTAGTTCATAGATGCTTTTCCTATTGTCTTTTTTCTTTATACATATTGTCTTTTTCTACAGGTTAATTCTGAGAAATTTATACATATATATACACACACACACACACACACATATATATATTACTTCAAACATTATTGTAGTGGACATTAAGTATTTGAAATAGACACCCCTTTTTTATTTATTAAACAGTGTGTTATGTCTAATGGCCAGCACATTTTAGCAACTTTTGTAAAGAAAATATGTTCTCTAGTAGGAATTGAACCTGAATTCCCCTTTGTAGGAGAGATCACCATTTGATCTGGTACACTTTACTGCTCACCCATGGAAACATATTCTCAGTGAAGAGGATGTGATTTCCTTAAAAAGGGAAAATAGAGCCTTGTATACTGTAATGTTCTTCATTGAGAAGTGGTTAAACATTCTGGTTCAATCCCTGCTGTAAATGCAATGTCTTTACCAGGATTTCTTGAATGCACAGAAATTAATAGATGTAATACATACTGTTTAATAATATTTGAAGTAATAAAAATATCAGATTAAAAATAAATCCATTAATATAAAATAAATATAGTAGATGAATACCTCAAAAGCAAATAATCGATCCATCAAATTTCGGGATGTGCAAGCATCTGCTACTACATGGACTTGAATATTATGTTTCAATAAATCAATAACTGTCTGTAGTATACAGATGTGTGCCTGTAAGATAAAATATTAATTTTAACAGTGGAAAATATAAAATATTTTTACATACATTTAAAACAGTTTTTTGTAAAATGAAATAAATTAATGTAATCAATCATTTAAATTAAATCCTTTTCAAATTTGTAGAAATGTGTGTAGTATATCTTCCTTTTTAATAATGTAAATATTTTCAAATATTGAAACTTGCGTACATGGAAGTAATTTTAAAAAATTGCTAAAGAAAAACCTTTATTTTTAAATATGCTTTTGTTTTTAAGGAATAATTCTGTAATATCTTATTACTAGCCGAATTACCCATGCCTTGCTGCATGTCACACATTTTTTATGTAAGAAAATGATGATTAATTTGAATCATTGTTATAATTTGTGGAGAGAAATGATGCATTTCAATATTATTCAATGATCTTGCTGATGTGACCTTCATCTTCTGGCTTTCTACTTCTATATTTTGGATAAGAATTATTCCCTTGTTCAAATTTAAATTTAATTTAAATAAAAGAGAAAAAAAAATTTCAGTGGTGGGGGTTTGTGCAAAAACAGCTTGATCTGACCCCTTTGATATGTATTTGATGCAATACTTGATTGAATGAATTGATGAGCAAATTTCAATATTGATGTGACAGTTGAATTGTCGCAACAAATATGTTATCTAAGGCACTACCCACTGATTGGTGATTTCTTGCTCAACTTAATGTCCATATTGTCTCATTTTGATCTTTAAGATGTGACCTCCATCTTCTGGCTTTCTCTTTTTATATTTTGGATAGGAGTCATTCCCTTGTTCAAATTTAAATTTAAAAAGCTTGATCTGACCCCTTTGATATGTATTTGATGCAATACTATCAGCAATGGATAAGAGAGACTTCTGAATGATTATAAATATTACCCAGAAAATAATCATCTGCTCACTGCCATTCTTGGGGTGGGGGTGGGGGGATTTTTAATTCTTGTTGTAGCAGAGCAGAAAAAAATGAGATAGCATACATCCTGGTCACTACTTGTTTGAATTGTTACCCTCAAGATGATATTTTAGTTCTATTAGTTCTTGTATAAAGCACATTAGGGACAGCTTTTATCCTTGGGCACTGTGTAAAATAAACACTGCTGCCCAGTGACAATTTTTAATGTATTTTAAATGTATTATACTTTATTACACTTTTATTTAATGCTCTGTGTGCATGTATGAGTGGTTTCTTTTTGTGAGTGTGTGTTGGTGAATCTGGGAGTCTCTGTCCAATTTCATTGTTCATTGCACAGTGACTAGTAAATAAATAAATAAAATAAATTACAGTAAAAAAACAAATTACCAGGATTAATTTTATATTAAAATTTGTTGGTGTTAAAATTAACATGTAATTTTTTTTTTATTTTAAATTTCTTAAAATTTATTACTTAATTAATCTTAATTTAAATATTTTCTTGGGTATACAAATTTTATTATTAGATTAAAAACTGACATTCTTTTTCCTTTTTAATAATTTCACCCCAATCAAGGTGATAATGCTACTAAGATACAAGTAGGGACAGCTCAAGGTACTGGCAACTTGGGCAGTCACCCAAGGCAATATCATACTGCCATGTTATGTGTTTGGGATCTTCCAAAACTAAAGCTTATAAAAACATACTTGCAATTGTCCATGACTCAAGACTGATTAAATTCTTTGGCTATTTTGTCAATAGAAAATGAAGATAGGTATAGAAAGTGCCATGAAAAGATTTACAGATCTAAAGGCTAGAAAAGAAATGTTTTAGGTAGGATAATGGATTTTCTTTTTAGATTGTATTCAGTTGTATATTGTAATATACTTCTTATTCTACATTTTCAGTTTTTCTCCTTGTGAAAATTTAAAAAAATTATACTTGTAAGGGCGCTGAATTTCAACTACTAAAAAGCTACATCAAAAATCTCTACATACAGTAAATTTCCAGGTTATGACAGTCCCAACCTACAGTGATTCATAGTTAGGATGCAATTTCCATTCATCTTGTTTCCTGGTTGTATGCATTTACTCACTTTTGTTTGTCTTGTGTTTGTGGAAGCACTGATCTTCAATGTGACTCCCAAACATTGTATAACCTCTTCTGATGACAGCATTTTGGAGTAAAAGAAATCATCACCATGGAAGTGAAATTAAGGGTACATTCTGACTTACATGGAAAATCACATTATGACACATTGTAGGAACAACTCATAAGTCAAGGATCCCCCCCGAATATAAAAAGAGGCATCAAAATCAAAATAGGGTCTCTTCAACGAGCCCTACTGAATTTAAAAGACCCACTCCAACTAGAGGAGCCTAAATACTGAAAAACAGTTTCAAATTAGTTAAATTAAATTTGAAAATAAACAAATATTTCTATCCTTATAGCTTTATTTTTTTTAGTTTTGTCTTGGGGATCCTTCTAGTCTATGCTGCCCATACTAACTCATATGTAAATCTGACATTGCTTATAATTATTATATAACTAGCAGTATGGCCTGGCATTGCCCGGGTATGTAACAGTAAGAGATAGATCAAGTATTGACCATCATAAAGACTGAAAAATAAAATTGACAAAGATTATTGTTTAAGGTTGACGGACATGCATGTCTTAATTAGTTTTTTTTTTTTTTTTTATGAATTGGTCAAACCCAAACTCAAACAAAAACATTGTTTTCAATCATTATGAGTCTACCGATTGACTAGAATTTTATTATAAACAATTGTCTTGTAAATGGAATTTTTAAAGCATTCTGAATGTAAAAATAAAGAAAAAAGTGTGCAAGACAATAAGAAACACTACCTGCCAAAAAAAAGTGAAGTTTTGTTGAAATCGGTTGAAAAATGTAGGAAATCCGATCCCATATATAAATGAACACACACACACAACCTGGGTTTTATAATAAGTATAACTCGATATAAGTTGTCCCCCTTTCATTCTTGCGACAGCGATGCCTCTTAATCGTGTTTTCAAATTGATTTTGTGCAAAGACAATTGTGTTTTCCCAATTTTTGGCACTGTCAGAACCACCGCAATGTAATTTTACGTAGTTCTGTGAAGTTTTGTTGAAATCGGTTGAAAAATGTAGGAAATCTGATCCAATATATAAACGAACAGACACACACACACACACAACCTGGGTTTTATAATAAGTATGATTATTTCAGTGATACTCACTACTGAAATAGAAACATTTCTGTTGATATATCAAGTTTGTAAATAAATAGATTAACTAATCTAATATCAATTCAGGTGATCTAATTCTCATTTATGAAGATCACTGCTGAAAAGTTATATAAAATAATTTTATTTATATTATTTACACTTGGACTATTGTCCTCATTTATGACGTTTCGGCTATTGTGCCCTCCAGCCTTTATCAGGTATTTGTTGATCGAGGTAAAATTTAGGGAATTTCAAACTGAATCCTTTATTTAATGTACAGTGAGGTAGCAAGATAGATTATTAGAACAGAAAATTAATCCTCCAAAATCAAAATTTTGCTTATTTTTCCTTTTTTATGATTATTTTTTGCCCTGTCTGATTTTTGGAGATGAGGAATTATCATTATTTACACTATTTACATTTAGACCAGTGGTTTCCAAACAATTTGGGGCCATGACCCACTTTGGTATTTCTAAAATTCTGGTGCCCCCCTCCTGTAATATTTAATTCTTGCATATTCAAAATTCTACTGCAATTCATGTGAAGGAAGCATACTGTATGCATACATGCACTGATTGGGCGACAAAAACATGGGCTCTTCCAGCATCACGTCCTCTCCTTTGTTGACAGAGACACACAAGTGTAGGGAGATGGGAAATACCCTATATGCCAATTACACATGTACATATATACACACAAAATATTTTTATGTATGCATACTGTATATGCATTGTATGTATTAACATACCTTAACATTAACACTCTCACTCAGACTCACTAGAAAACAATTCAGTGTTAATAACTCATTCTTGAATTGCCCCCTTATTCTGTTGGTATAGTAATCCGAAGGGTGCACATCCTACGCATACCCCACCAAAATATTACCATGCTCCATGGGTTTTGCATGCCCCTACCATGATGGGAATTATTGACTTAGACTACTAAAAAAAGAAAGACAAATAACAGCATCTCTTCAACAAAAGCAGCAGCATAATTTAGTGACCTAGTAATTGTGAGTTCAATCCCTGGGTTGGGCAGTGTGTACTTGGACACAGTCGAAACGGGGTGAGCAATAACTGAGTATTGTCCTGGGTATGACAATAAACTGCACATCCGTGTCCTGGGTAAGACGATAAACTACATCCAACAGCAAGGCCTCTGGTCAGGAGGTTTTGAGGAATGTGGAACTACCTCTTAATTGCTGGTGTTCCCAGGTCCACTCTGACCTGGGGTGGTAGCACCTGTTAGGGTCCCAGCTATGGGCAAATAGTTAACACTCAGACTATATCCACATCCTGGGTATGATGATAAACTACATCCGCATCCTGGGTATGACGATAAACTACATCTGCCTCCTGGGTATGACGATAAACTACATCCACGTCCTGGGTATGATGATAAACTACATCCACGTCCTGGGTATGACGATAAACTACATCCACGTCCTGGGTATGACGATAAACTACATCCAACAGCATCCCCAGACCCATATCTCATCCTGGGTATGATGACAAACTACATCAGCATCCTAGGTATAATGATAAACTACATCTGCCTCCTGGGTAAGATGATAAACTATGTTCAACAGCAAGGCCTCTGATAATACGTTTTTGAAAAAATAATGTTGCCAGCTGTATGTTTTTGAAAAAATATTGCCAGCTATACATTTTTTTTGAAAGAATACTGTTGCTGGCTATACGTTTTTAAAAAAATTATATTACCAGCTATACGTTTTTTGACAAAATAATATTACCAGCTATATATTTTTTGAAAAAATAATATTACCAGCTATACATTTTTTGAAAAAATAATATTACCAGCTATACATTTTTTGAAAAAATAATATTACCAGCTGTACATTTTTTGAAAAAATAATATTACCAGCTGTACATTTTTGAAAAAATATTAACAGAAATAGATTTTTGACAAAACAAAAGTATTACCAAGAAAAAAAAAAGTTGTCGGCATTAAATGACCCATTGAGGTTGATGTGCCATAAAACAAAACAAACCAAACTAATAACTGAGCAGTACTAAAAATAAGAAATATACCTACACATGAGCAGTGGAATGAGAACAGTCTACACTTGTAGGGTTAAGTTACAAATACTCTGTAGGTTATCAGATCAAATATACACCTGATAAAGGATGGAGAATGCAACAGACAAGATTTATGATAACAACAAAGATCAGAACAATAGTCTAAATGTAAATAGTGTACATTTTTTTTTACAAAAATTGTAATTTTAAGAAATGTTTAGTAATTATTATAACTCCTAAGAATTTTTCATCCACATGATGACAATAAATAAGCCATGTTTATTCAAAAGCCTTCTTGCATTTATCTCAATATGATTATCTTTTTTTTCCACCACATCTTTAAACAGTTTGTTTAAAATGATATCAATTGGTTGTTAAATATTGGCCAAATCACCAGGAATAACAACTTGATATATTCCCTGTTTTTTTGGAAATTTATGGTGGATTCAGTGAGGTGTTCATGATCTTCTTTTATGCTGTGTTCCTTCAGGATGTAGGTGATCATGGCCCTCCACATCTTCCTGTGCCTAGTAGCTCTTTGTCTTTTTCTTATTTCCCCCAAACCCTGTTTTACATCCATTTATTCAAACCCATTACGTATGTTACACACTGCTTTCTTCTGTCTTTCAATCTGTCCTGTGAGTATCAGATTTTCAAAGTCCTCTTTCCTTATGTGCCTTAATAATTTCAACTGCCTCCTCCTGATGTTAAGTATCAGTTTCCTTTTTGTTTCCATTTTCTCTAAAACCTCATCATTGCTCATATGTTTGGTCCATGGTATCCTCAGCATCCTTCTGTAGAACCACATTTCTGTCTCTTTGTCATCTTTGAGGAGATTGTCCAGCATTCACTGCCATATAGGAGGACAGATATCATGTAACAGTTTAGCACACTGATCCTGAACTAACATTGATGGAGTTTTTAACAAAGTACCTGGACTTTTATTACATATATTTTAATCAATAATGAAAGATCAGTGGGAAAAAAGCAGGTGTCATATTAAACATTTTGTTAAACATTATCATTATTTTAAGTCTTGAAAAATAATTATTTCACTAAAAACAAAAAAGCAAACTATTTCAATGATAAGTAACAAAAATATTTTAAAACTTTTGATGAAATCAATATTAACTGAAGCAGTAGGATGCAGAGGGCGCAACAGCTCTGGGTATCCATCTTAGGAGGGCATCCACTCAAGGAGTGAAATAAAAATTTAGTTTTTGGAATTTCAAATTGTTAATTTTGTTGTATAAGTGCCCTACAGTGCCACAAGCTGGTTTGATTGTAGATCTGTATTTTGATAACTGTGTGTGTGTAAATATATTTAATGTAGATCTGTGTTTTGATAAGTGAGAATGGAGTAGGCTCAACTATTTGAGTCTTCTGGGGCATAAAATCAAGGAGCTGGCACCAGGCATCGCTAAACCTCTGCACATCACTGAAGTTAGATTTGTTAATCTATTATAAAGATAACAAGTCTATATAAATTTTTTTTTATCCATATAACAGATAAATATAAATATTATCATAGAAAATAAAATAATTACAAAATATAGCAAATAAAATAATTACAAATGTTTTAAATATTCAAAATATTTCTTAAAAATAGATTTTTAATAATACAAAAGTAAAATTATCATTTTAAATTTTAATTTGAAATTAAATAAAAGTATTTGTTTTTCTCTTTAATTTACCTCAATTCCAAACAAGACAACATGTTTAGGATTCTTCCATACAATTATTTCTTCAACTTCAGGTATAAACATGGTGAATTTATTTTTAGGAAAAACAGAAGCATGTTTTATATTCAGTTGAGGTATTGTGTTGCCAAGTCCTTTAGGATACTGCAAAATAAATGTTATAGCTGTAATATCAAGTATAAAAGTAAAATTTCTTTCATAAAATATAAATATATAATTTTGATAAATACTACAGTTAAAAATTTAATCTGATCTATGTTGGAAAATTGTTTCATAAAGCTTTCAAACTTTGCGATATTGAAAAAAATTGCAAAAAGATGGTGTTTTCTATAGATTTTAATTGGAACTCCACAAAAGACATGAAAATAAAAATAATGCGAATAAGTAATATAGAATATTAAAAAAAGAAAAAAAAAAAAATAGTTGGAAGTAATCATTTCCCCCAAAAGTAAATTCGACTGTTTTTACCTTTAATCATATTGTAGGTTAACCATCATTTCTAGAACTAATTTCAATATACTGCTTATTTCTTCCTCGTTTTTAATTTTTATCTTTATTTTTCTTAGAAAATAAAACTCTTACATCTTTATATCACTTTCATTTTCATTTTGGTATCATTACTTATTCTGGTGTTTATGTGATTGAAATGAAAAACAAAAGAGGTAGGGGTTTCACTTAAAGATTTATTCAACTCAACAAACAGGGTAGATCTTATTGTTTGATAACTGGTCCAGGGGAGACAACTATGGTTGACTTCCACTAAAGTGTTACAAGAAAAAAAGTAGATTAATTTAAAGAATTTTAAACATTTTAACAAATATCTAAAACCAAATTCATAAATACTTTATTTAACAAGAAATATAAATTTTATATACAGCGAGTCCTCCGTATCCGCGGGGTTATTAGAATCCGCGAATACTTCTAAACCCCACCTAAAAGTGCTTATATTGTTAAAACTTTATGCCTTAAACTTTCATCCTAAACATTTTAGAAACATTTCAGATCCTTTTAAAAACATTTTTGAAAAATAGTATTGGTGACCATACACTTTAGCGTAATTTTATTTCATATGTCGTTTTTAATTATGCATAGATCGATACAACCATTAAAAATACCATATAAAATATGTAACGTAACAAGATATAAAATATATAAAGTTTAAAACATTTTCTAAAAACAGAACTGTGATGATGTCCCCAGACTTAGCATAAGCTACTTTAAGACCCCAGCCGCAGCCCGTAACAAAGAACAAAGCCCAAGCACTACGCATATGTTTTTGCATTTGTTTTTTTTTTTAACAATAATGTATCATTCTGTCAATTTTTACCATAAAAATGGACTGTTATATGTTTTAAGTCACTTAAATGACAGGAAAATAATACAAGAATATTTTAAATATGTTCTATCGAAAAAAATACGCAAAGTGAGGGAGTTCTCACCGAATAATTTGTACATATGTTCTTCAGAAAAACACGCAAATATTCAGGGTTTCCACGAATAACAAGTACGTGTGTTCTAAAGAAAAATCCATGAATGTGAGAAGCCGCGAATGCTGAAACGCAAATAGGCAGGTGCTCACTGTACATATTTTCATATTTATTTTTGTTTAAGATTCCAACATTTTTATTACTTTTTAGGTGTTATTTTTAGTGGCTGCCCATATTTGAAATAGACGCCCTATTTTTATTTTCAAACCATGTACACTTTAAAAATGCAGTGCTTCTCAAACTGTCAGATGTGGTATACCAGCAGTTTTCTTTTTTAACGTGTATAAGGACCGGTGAGTGAAGTTTTTCAATCAGGCTGTCGGGTGAGGTTGGAGTGTGCTGCCACCTAAAAAATTTTTTTTTGAGATATGTAATATAGCAGAATAATTTTGAGACTATCTTTACTAAACATGAGGGCATGGCGTTCTATTCATTCTAAGGCATGTTATCATTGACATAAGTCTTCTCAATGTGCCAGGGGCCAGTGCCATATTTGTGCTATAACGGTCCAAGAAAATACTATATGAACATTTGTAGTATTATTCATTTATACCAAAAATACATAATGGATATATTAAAAGTTGCATTTATTTATTTTTTATATTGATTTTGTTGAAATATGTCCATGATAATACCATTTTCATAACCCTAGGTGTAGTTCCCACACAGTCAATCGCCATATTATGATAATGGTGTTGGCATACGTATTTTAGTTCACTGTTTTGCTGTTCATTATATTGTATTCATTAATTGTACTACAATGACATTTAACATGAGTGAGTAATTGAAAAACGTAACCATAATGAATATAAAACTAAAATAGAAATATTAAAATAAAATCAAGTCAGATATCCCGACAGTCTTCTGCGGAGCTGAATGTGACTACTGTTTCTTTGTTTCCTGGAAACATTCTGTGTACTGGCAGATGGTAGTTTGCGTACCAGTGCTGGTACACATACCACACTTTAAGCAGCACCGCTTTAATGTATATATATAAAATATATTGAAGTGAACAAAATGCATGTATGAATTTAATTTAGTTTTACTGTTGTAGATGATGTCACCTTTAATTGACTTAAAATTGGTTCTTAAGTTAAGAAACATCAGAAATTTGTAAACATACAATTCTAATAAAATGCATTTCAACAATTACAGTACTCGGATAGATACAATAATTGAACTAAATAAAAAGTTGTTTTGACAGACTAACAGTATTGTTTAATAAAACTTCTTTCAAATACTTTAATGTATGTATATACAAAACACTTTAAATATTTAATCATAAAACTCTGATTAAAATCTACTATACTGATTTTCAAAAACAGAGTTAAAAAATTTGCTAGTGTTTATATATATTAAGAAATCAAATATATCTTACTTGTTCAGTGACAATCAATGGAATTTTAAGAATTTGGCCGCCTTCAATCTGTGGACAAAATATATTATTAGAACATCAGTGTTTGCTGATTGATTGAATTATTTTTTATGGCTTCAAAAAAATAATTTTTTTCACTGCTAGTTGAATCTGTTTTAGTTGTTGCTGCTGTTGGAAGTCTAAGTCGCCAGAAAGGAGAGAGTTTGGTTTTGGGACCAAATATATCACTACAATTAGTTACCTAATGATCCTTAAGTCATTAGGTAACTAATGTAGTGATAACTAATGTACTTGAATGAATCAAGTAAACCTAATTTCAAAAAGTGAAAGTGTTTGAATAAAAAAATTATGTAAGAAGAAAAGTCAGAAAGTTTATAAAACAAAATATCAGAATGTTCTATTCACTTTCCTCCCTGGTCTTTTGAACAGGAGTAGAGGGTTAACCCTTGTTTTCTGTTTAGGATTGAATTTTCCATTCTTTCTAAAGTCTTCTCATTCCTTTGTACTCCCAGTAATTTATTATTTTAGACAATCTATTGTAAATGAGAAAGAAAGGGGTTGTCAGGAATTAATTCATCAATTATTAGGGATATTATATGTAAAATGGAAATGCATTGCTATGATGATTTTACTATAGGAATGCATTGCAAATAAGGAAGAAAGGAATTGTCAATAATCAGGAATTAGTGAAAGAGTTACTAAAGGAATATATATGCTTTCCCAATCACTACAAAAGAATTGTCAAATTAAAAAAATTTTTATTAATTTTTTTAATTTGACAATTCCTTTCTTCTTTATTTGCAATGCATTCTTTAGTTTTTCAAAAAAAATTAATAAAAATTAATTGTACTAAGCTATGAACATTAGTAAAACTAACTGTACATTGTATCCCCTTACCCATTTGCACTTCTCCCCAAAATGTGGTTTTGATTGGTCAATGTATGTCTATTTTAGAGAGTGTGACCGACTGACAGACTAACAGAAGTTACAGAATTTTTATATATAGATTTTCTCCCATATCATATTTTCCATAAATTTTTATTAAAACAAATACTTATAACAATAAAGACAATATACAACTCAAATGAAACTGTCTTATTTAAGCTTTAATCGTTATATTTGTCAATCTTTTGAGTTTAACGATAAAAACTATTCTTTCTTCCCATAGTTGAATCAATAGCAATGTATTCAGATTCCAAATACAATAGACCTATTACATGAGGAATACATGCCTTAATTCCAGATCAGAATGTGTTATACTAATGTTCACCCAATTCAAGGTCCAGGAGACACTAAAGGTTGAGGGTTATTGTGTAGTGCTATATGAATGTAAGAAAAAGCAAGAAGCAAAGTTCATGAAAGGAAAGATAACCATAAGCATAGACTTGAAGAGGTGAAGATTGTAGTGATTGGGAAAGCATATATATTCCTTTAGTAACTCTTTCACTAATTCCTGATTATTGACAATTCCTTTCTTCCTTATTTGCAATGCATTCCTATAGTAAAATCATCATAGCAATGCATTTCCATTTTACATATAATATCCCTAATAATTGATGAATTAATTCCTGACAACCCCTTTCTTTCTCATTTACAATAGATTGTCTAAAATAATAAATTACTGGGAGTACAAAGGAATGAGAAGACTTTAGAAAGAATGGAAAATTCAATCCTAAACAGAAAACAAGGGTTAACCCTCTACTCCTGTTCAAAAGACCAGGGAGGAAAGTGAATAGAACATTCTGATATTTTGTTTTATAAACTTTCTGACTTTTCTTCTTACATAATTTTTTTATTCAAACACTTTCACTTTTTGAAATTAGGTTTACTTGATTCATTCAAGTACATTAGTTATCACTACATTAGTTACCTAATGACTTAAGGATCATTAGGTAACTAATTGTAGTGATATATTTGGTCCCAAAACCAAACTCTCTCCTTTCTGGCGACTTAGACTTCCAACAGCAGCAACAACTAAAACAGATTCAACTAGAAGGGAAAATAATGATTTTTTTTTAATAGAATTTATACCAAGCTTGACAGTAAAGCCACTAAGACACAAGGGTTGTGAAAGAATTAAAAAACAAAAACATTGTTAAGGAGTGAGAAAAACAGGATAATCAGGAAGACAGTAGATAACAATTGACATTGCCTTTAAATTTTTTAAGATCAATGTTGGCTGAAAAGCATAAAGCTGGAAGAGAGTTCCACAAGTGAGAAGTGTGAGAAAAGAAACTGCTAGTGTAGAACTTACAGTTATATGTAACCAATTCAACTGTAAATTTAGACCTTGTTACCAATTTAGTACTGTGCTTAAATTCTTAAAGTTTAGGTACCATAGCAGAAAGTTCATCTGAACAATTACCATGAAAGTATTTATAGAAAAGGCACAGGGAAGCAACTATAGAGTGATGGGAAAATGAATGAAGCTGAGATGCCAGGGCAGGAGCAATAACATTGCAGATTCTCCTTTGGAGTTTATCAAGAATCTCCAAATATATAGCAGGAGCTATATGTGGCAGTAATATTCTAAACATGGACAAAGGGTAGACATAGATCAAGATGTTGACTTTTCAAACTACCTTTTTGTGACTGCTTGGTCTCACATTGACTGCTGACCTGAGATGGAACAAATACATTGAGTCAATAGCTTCATCCACTGCAAGGAAAGTTGGCTCCCTGTGCCGCACCAGGAAATTTTTCTTGCCAGAGTCGATCATTCAAATCTACAAATCAACCATTCGCCCTTCTGTTTGTCTCAAGGTTCTTGATAAAATCCAGAGATGGATATGCAATGTAATTGGCCCTGATCTGGCATCTCGTCTGCAGTCGCTCTCTCACAGACGTGTTGTTGCTTCCCTCTGTCTTTTTTACAAATACTTTCATGGTAACTGCTCCGATGAGCTGCTTTTGCTGGTTCCCAGACTTCATGAATTTAAGCATTCAACTAGACTGGCATCTCGCTCTCACCCTTTCATTAACGAAACAGTTAAATGTAGCCATCTCTTCTACTCCAATAGTTTCATGTCTTGAAACTTCTCACCTGTGGAACTCCCTCCCCTTTTCCTGATAGCTATAATCTCCAACTATTCAAATGTAATGTCAATCGACATCTCCAGATGCCTTGATCTATTCCCTATCCTTCTCTTCATCCTTTCCTCTATCACTCCTATTTGCTCTTGCTCCAACTCTCTGTCACCCCTTGCATGCTAGTGGCTTCCCGCCTTGCTTGGGGTGAAATGTTTAAAGAAAAAAAACAAACAAAAAAAAAAACCAAAAGAGTAGGAAGCAAACTTCCATCAATAAAGAATTATAACAGAGGATTTGAAAAGTGTATTTTTTTTGAAAAACTACTTTAATAAACATCCTATAATTTTAATTAACAGTGACGCTAATCTTTCATTCAATGAATACCAAATATATCATATGGAAACGGATAATCCCATAATTTCTATCTAATCCCCTTTGATCACTTGCATTTTAATGAACAATAACCCTTTTACAACTAGAGCCCACTATCCTCCTACCTACCACAATAATTCATTAAATAAAACTGTACTAAGTAAAAAAAAAAAGTAAAGGTTTTTTTAATCATATCAGCTGGAATAACAATATCAAAAATAAAACCTACTTTAAAAAAAAAAAAAAAAATCATTTCACCCCAACCAAGACAATAAAACCACTAAGACGCAAGAGGTTACTACTGAGTGTTAAAGTTGATTTCTTGAAGTGACTAGGTCATTAAAATCCGTTTTATTTCCTTTTTTTTAAGGGAATGATTTTAATAAATTTTCTATAATTTCAAAAGGAAAATAAGGCAAATAGAGTCAGTAAACAGAAACTTGTCAAAATCGAATGGTATTGGGTTTTTTGTTTTTTTTGTTTTACTATTTTAGAACTAAGAAATGTGATCCTGTTAGTTAAAATAAATCGATAATCAATCACTGAGTTTTACAGAGTAATCTGAACTTAATTACCCTGCGTACGACTTTTTTCTTTTTTAGTTACTAAAAGATTCTTTAAAAAAAAAAACAAAAAAAAAACTGGTATATTTTTAATTACAAGACAATAACAACATAATGTGTGTATCTGTAATCATGTTTGTGGATGTAATTCCGAAAATAAATCATTAACACCCCACAAAAAATAAAAATAAAATAAAACCCAAAACTGTAAAAAAATAAATTTAATTACGAATTTTATCCTATTCTTTAGAAACCGTCTGTTTTCATTTTAATTTCGAATTATGGGTGAAAAATGAAAATAAACTTGCGCTATAGTTTCCGAGGAATTAATTATTAATTACGATTATTAGTCAGTATTAATGTTATTGTTTAGTATCATCAATATTAATTTGCTTAGTCTAAAAACATTAAAATATTTTTTAAAAACAATTTTTCTCAATAGTTTTTTTATTTTATTTTTGCATTAGTGTGATTGTCTATAATTCCCGTTTTAACGCTAGAGTGTTTTACTTTTACTTTTATTTTTAAAATGTTTTTTGTGGAAGTAAAAGTTTTACAATTAGATTCATCTTAGAGAAAACTTCTTGAATTTTTTTTTCTAAATCAGTTTTTTTTTTTCAGAATTAGTTTTATCGATTAAACAAGGCTAAAAAAATTCATTGGGCATGTTTACTCACTGATTTACAAAAAAAAAAAAAAAAGAATTTTTAATTTTTAGGTTAGGAGATAAGAAAATAGAGCTAAAAAATTAAATTAGAAAAATCTTCCATATTTTTTAGACGTACCAATCTTTCAGTAACAGTAATAATATCATCAAAATGTTGCATTACTGGTACAAATTTAACTTGCATATCACACATAAAAAATAAGGTCTCTTCAGCAACAATATCTCCGAAAGACGATGACATTTTGCTTTACGCTGAATTAAAGAAAACTGATGGCGTTTTGCAATAAACCGGTGTAAGATGAAAAAGTCCCTTTTACTAATATTGTAAATATTTCGTTTGGATAATAATAATACTTTAAATTAATTTCTTATTTTCTGTATTAAATTTTTAGCAACATCGGCGCCTTGTTGTGGTGTAATGTTTAGAAAACTTGTTTCGAAAATCAGTTTTAGTTTAGAAAAGTTGACTCCATAACAGTTACAGTTAAGCTTTTAGTAAAAATAACTATTATTTCTTAAAAAATAACTATTTCATAAAAAAAACAACTTTTCTCTCGGTTCATTCAATTATATTATTTATTGATTTTTTTTCTTTTTCTTTAAATCTTTTAAAACTTTATTTTTCTTTTTCTCGGATGTGCAGTTATCATTATTTACTGTATCTCTACACTCTGTCCTCATCTTTGTTTTTATTGTTATACTCCGTTGCAATTAGATCTCTTTCTGATTCATTCTGCATGCTGGCTGGATGTGAACGCGATGAAGGCAAGGAACAAAATAATAAAAAAAAGTCGTTCTCTGCACATAGGCTCTGAGCATAACGTCTGGTTACTGAAGCAAGCTCCTACATGCAACACTGGCCAATCACAAATGTTCCCACTGAAAAGGAGATGTCCCTGGGAACTGCCAGATCTGCTTAAAAGTAGGTTTCCCATAACCATATGCTAGGCCACAAAAATCTGAGCCGACCAAGCATAGAAATGAATACAATATGGGAACCAGTAATAAGGAGTGCCAGAGAAAAGCAATAATAACAACAAAAATTGCAATATGAGCTCTGGTAAGAACATGATGTGATAACAGCAAAAATGGCAATATGAGCACTGGTAAAAAACGGTTGCTGAAGACATTAGGTTTATAATACCCAGAAATTCATACACAGATGTCCTCAAGGATAAAGGCATTAGTTAGATCTAGTGACAGGACCCAAAGAATGTGAGTTCAATACCTGGTTAAGATGGTGGAGAACTTAGAGAGGAGAATTAACAGGAGATAACTGATAACTGACATCCATTAGACATGGCATGTAGAACTAGAACAGTCTACCCCAGTGAGTGAAATAAAAAGTTCAGTTTGACCACCTGCAGAAGGCTGAAGCATACAACGGCTGAAACATTGACAATAGTCTGAATAATTTCTTCCTTTGGACAACATGAGGTGAGGTGAGATGTGTTGCATGAGCAACTGCCGATCTCCACACAAAAATATATATTTAAAAAAATCCTATCAAAGTGTTGCCTCAATTTCAAAATACTGTGCTGCTATCACTAGCTGAATTAAAAAAAAAAATTATCCTCTGACACAGATCTATGTTACACAAATATTGCTAAACTGGCAAAGTTTAACAATTGTACTTGCTAAAAAACAGCCTGTCTAAGGAACAGTTCTTCTCTTGACATCACTATTACTGTAGACTCCCTGGGCAATTGTGATTGTTTTCAAAAGCTGTTTTTAGAATATTGGTAAAACCCAAACTTATGAAACTGGATTTATACATTTTCTTTTTTCTTGAGAATTAACAATAAAAGAATTAAACACTTTTTATTTTATTAGATTGTTTATTTAAAAGAATATTTTGGCAAAGTTTACATACCTGCAAAAAAAACCAAAAAAAAACAAAACAAAACAACAGCATTTTTCTTGACAACACTATAAGTATGTACTACCTCAAATCCCTAGGCAATATTTATTATTTTACAAAGCAATGTTTAGAATTTTAATAAGGCACTGATATTCAGGATAACTTAAAACAATTACATGATTACTTATTTCAGTGCATCGTCTTACTTACAATTATTGCCATGTGATGCAAACAATAGTCAGTGTATTATTTAAACAAATTAGCTGTAAATAATCAATGGTAACTTTTTATAGCCATCTGTCATTTATATTATTGCCAACTAAGACATTTATGTAAGTAATCATTCAAAGTAACATGGTTAATTGAAATAAATGCTGCATAAGTTGTTGCATTTTAATAACAACAAAAATGTTATACACTATTTAGATTTAGATTTACAAAATTATTAAAATATGTGAACCAAATTAGTTTGGTTCACAATCCTCCCTGGTACTGGAGTAGAGGTTTAACTCATGGTTCCTGTTTAGAATTGAATTTCTGGTTTCTTCTAAAGTCTTCTCATTTTCTTTCACTCTGAGTAGCATCTTGTGTCTTAGTGGCATTATCTCCTAACTTGGGGTGAATTGAAAAAAAAATACAAAAAGAAAAGAAAAACTACAAGTCAAAATTTACCATTTTATAAAGAACTAAACATGAAAATCTTTTTACTCAAAGATTTATAAAAATTGTTGAAAACAAATGAAAGAAATGCCTGGAAAATGCATCTTTTCAAAATTTATGATTACATTTGCTTGCCATTATGTGTTTATTTAAATTTTTTTGTTTACAGACATTCTTATAAATTTATGAATAAAAAATTCCTCATCAATAAAGCATAAGGACTGTGGCTTTTATCATTTTGATAAATAATAAATCTTTATAAAATGGTAAATAAATATTTCATTATAGTTGGTTCATGTATTTTTATAATTTTGTAAATTTTTATATATTTATGAATATAAAACTTACTTTAATATTTATTTCATTTTAAAAATGTAAATGATAAACAAAGAATCAGAGATCCAAGTTCAAATTCTAGCTGAATCTGTTATATCCACTTATGTGATAATACTCTTGGGGAAGGTATGAATCCTCTTCTTCTCCCTCCAGCTATGAGTAAATAGCAGGACAGACTGTGTTCTATAGCTTTGGATGGCAACTGGTCTACCGCAGAAAGAAATAGCAACCTACTGCAGGAATAATATCTACCTTGTCAGTCATGTATTGAAAGATATATTATTGCCTAAGCATGTATCACGCATGGCACATAACTGATTGAAATGAAAAACATTGATTTGTAGTTCACATATGTTATAAATAATCTTGTAAATAATAAATCTAATAAATAAATAGTGTTGAATATTTTTGTTGTCAATTCTCAAGAATAAAGAAAATGTATAAATCCACTTTCATATGTTTCAGTTTTGTAGTTCACATATGTTATAAATAATCTTGTAAATAATAAATCTAATAAATAAATAGTGTTGAATATTTTTGTTGTCAATTCTCAAGAATAAAGAAAATGTATAAATCCACTTTCATATGTTTCAGTTTTAAATATAGCTAAAAAAAAAATATTGCTGAGGGAATCACAAGAAAGTATACAGTAATAGTGGTCATTTTGATGAACTGTAAAAATTTTGCTTTCCTGCCAACTCCAAGTTCTTGTGCAAAACTTAGTTGGTAGAAACAGCAACTCTTGAAAATTGGCACAACTTAAAAAACAAGATGGCCACTGCGCAAAATTTTAAAAGGAACAACACATTTATTTACAATTAGAAATTGGAAAAGTACAAAACAAGGGTTGCACAAAAATTTACTTTTGTGTGCCTCTTTGGACAGGATAACACTTTCCTGAGGTAACAAAAAAGGAGATTACCCTCGGAAACAGGAAAAATACAATTCACCAAAACTGTTGATAAGACCAACAGATTCGTATGCAAAATATATCTATTCAAAAATACAAAAATAAGGGAAGAGGATTCACAATATGGCACAAGGCACAATGTTTTAAAAGACACCAACCTCTGTTGTAACAGCTCTGTAAAGAACCTCTCAGTTCAAAGAGGATTGACATAGGCAAATTCTTGTAGGTTCTGGGGTGTGAAATTTGTCTTAAGAATCTACCTTGGATCTGTCATGTCAGATTTATAACCTCTCACTGGATTGTCATTGCTGTTTTCTTTTCAACTCTCTTCCTGATTTTTTATTCTCAATGGGGTCATAAAATTTGACTCCAGCCAAATTTTTAGGTGCTAGAAAAACTTGATTCCCATTGGCCAATATACATAAAATCTCCTGAGTATTCAAAAACAGTAAATTCACAAGATCTTGGCACTTCAACGCTCAAGCCTAAAAGGCCATAAAAATGCATGAAATTTAACATTTTTTACAACAAAATAAAATTTTTATAATACCATTTGTTGCAAGTAGGAAGGTTAAATAATTGAAATTAAATAATTTTATATTTACAATTTTATAAAAATATGTGAACCAACTATATACAATCCAGTATTTATCATTTATCATATTATAAAGAAATAACTATGAAAACAAATTTTTATTCATAAATGTATAAAAACGTCTGTAGAAAATTTAAATAAACATCTAACAATGAGTAACTGTAATTATAAATTTTGAAAAATGCATTATAAATTTTGAAAAATGCATTTTCTACTCTCACAACATAAAGTCATTAAAAATAAGTTGAGAGCAGTGATATAGTTGGTATTAGTGACAAGAGAAAAAATGTCCTTTTGATGCACTATCCTTTTGTGGGTATGGTTGTTAAATTTTACCAAATTCTCCTGGCACAGAACCATAGTCTCCCTAGATTGACAGATGTTACAGAAAGTTTAAAACTAAATAACTGACAATATATTTTAGTGTATTGCTAAACCAACCTTATATCTTAATTGTAGAACCATTTTAAATTATGTGTCCACCCAAGTAAATAAATTTAGCAGGCAAACTCATCTCATGAATGAGCATTGTGACCACAAACCAGTTACTAAACAAATCCATGTCAATCTGAAGTTTTTAAAGTTACCTTTTAATATAATCCAAACCTTCAGACAACACTCATTCATCTTCATATTCAATTTTTTTTATTACACAGCAGAAAATTACTTATCATTTAAGTTCTAAATCACAGAACATTATTTCTCTTCTTAATTTGCTCAAACAATTCAACATTATTTCTTGACAAAAAACGGTCAAAGGAAGATAACTTTTACCACAACTAAATTTATTCCAAACTACATTGAAAATTTACATTGCACAAAACTGGTTAAATTCCACATAAACAGATTAATACTTTCACTGACTTTGTGAACTTTTCA